TTCAAGACCAGATCCAGATCTACCTCCAGATTGTTTCTTCATGTTGCATGCTGGCCACCTGGTCGACGTCCTTTTTTCGACTGCAGCACTTGAAGCTCGCAAGCTGGGGTAGATGAATTATACTTAACTTGTTTGCCTTGCAGATTCAACATCCTTTTCATACACTAATCTCCTTCGACGTACGCTGTACCGTGAATAGCGCATAGTCGTTTTTTACGTGGTTATGCCATTTAATCCTCATTAAGCACTGAAGCCCACGTTTTTGTACGCAGATGAACCGCCGTTCTTTGGTCCTTCGTCAGAGCAACTGTTTCCATGCCATATGGCGATGCTGACCTGACAAGGACAAAGTACAGATGAATTTTTGTGGAAAGCGCTGTTACATTCTTAGCCAACATATGTAGTAGGTTATCAAAAGCATTAAAAGCTAGGACAATCCACAGATTTAATGTTCATTGGATAGTGGCATCGCTGTTGATGACTAAGCAGAGATACTTATTTTGGCCTATTCCTCTGTGCCTTGCCTATTGTTCCATTAGGGGATCAGTCATGTCCGATAGGTTCCCCATAACGTTCACTTTCGGTCAGTAAGTTGGAGGCTGGCTTCCTTAGATATGTCGCACAGGAAGTCCGTAAGGTGACAATGCCCGCCTCCCGTGCTATTCGTAAGGGCCATATTATCTGTATACTCGATGTCTAGACATACATCCTGTTGATCTGCGTCTGTCCTTCATAATGAAACTTTGTCTTTGTCTGGATCAGCCACTGTTGCAGAACAATGTCGAAAATTATGTTGAAAAGCAGAAACGAAAGCACATCTCCCTGGTAAACTACACGTTTCACAGGAAACGACTCATATAGCGCTCCTTTCAGTTTTGCTCCAGAAATGGTTGCTGTTTACGTCCCTTCCGAGATGTAAACGCAATGTTCAGATATTCCATAGAATTTTATGATTTTCTTGAGGTCGAGTTTCTGAATCAAATGCAGTCGTAAGCGTTGCAGTAGATAAAAATTTCATTGTGGAGTAACTAACATACGTCAGCACATTAATCCATCATGTCTAAATTAACGAATTCCATTAGAAATACTGATAATTTCTGCAAGATGCGACGGATGGTGAGCAGAGTCTCGAAAGAGACACAAGCATTTATCTGGTAATTGCTGAACTGCGTTATTAAATGAATGTATTGTGATCCAGAATGAGATGAACACTCGTCAAAACCGATTGTGCACCCTTCTTCCTATGTCCTATTCTCATACGTAGTTTGTGAATGCCGGATTTTGACGGAATGAGAGCGATTCCGGATTAAAAATGGCATACAAACTTTTCTAAAAGCATCGTGAGACCTTCAACCTGGTGCAGTACTATGTTAGAAGAACTATGTTGCATCTAACGCGCACTTTTTCATTTCTGAAAAGCAGATATAGTCATCCCGTCAACAAGAAATACTTATTTTAATCAGCCAGTCAGTGAGTTTCAGTGGATGCTTTCGGGACAGTGACGCAGTAGCGCCAACAGAGCCTTCTCTGTTCTCGCAGCCAAGTCGATGAGTACCTCAGCGTACGAGATGTTGAGGTGAGAATGTTGCTGTTTGCGGACGGCCTTGTTTTATTGGCACCTTCTGAAACACAGCTGTCTGGAAAGGTTCGCGGCCCAGTGCGATGTGACCAGCATGCGTGTGAACGCATCTAAGACGAAAAGCCTAGTGCTTTCTCGTTTTCCTGCCCGTGCTCTCTTCAGATTACCAGGGAAGCGGTGGAACAGGTGGGAAAGTTCAAGTACCTCGGAATTAGATTTACTAGTGATGGAAAATTTGGGGAAGAGTTCGACCGGCGAATTGGAGTAGCCAGTGGCGTTCTGCGCGAGCTAGCCCTAACCGCTGTTAGCATAGCAGAACTGAGTCTGAAAACCACGCGGTATGTGTTCAAATCGATCTCAGCCCCAATGCTCACCTGCCGTCATGAATCGTCGGTCGTGACTGAAATACTGAGATCATTGGAAGAAACGGCAAAAATTGATTTTCCTTAGAGATATAGCTGGGATTATGCGTTTCGACATGGTCTGACGTTCAGATATTCGGGAGACTCTGGCTGTGCAGCTACTGCTTCCACAAATTGAGAGTCACAGCTGTGATGGTTTAGGAACGTCTCTCGAATGCTTCCAGAAATTAAAGTGACTCAGCTACTACTTGCTTAACTCATTGGCCGAAGTCTCTGTGATGGCGAAGAATATGCTGTTTCAAGTTTCTCGAAGAACTTTGGTTCAAGCTAGAGTTGTCTTTGTGGAAGGTCGAACGCTGTCACAGACTGGGAATATTGGAGACACTTTTCTGAAGCGTCTGTCACCCGAAAGGATAAGTGGTGATCGAAATTGACTGACTAACCGGCTAAACATGAATAATTCTTTACATTATAGATAATACTCACCATGTATTGTCGATTTCTTGTGAAGATAATTAAATTTGAATTTTTTGTAGTGCTTCATTGGGGACAACACTGATGAAGCGCCGTTGCCAATTGAGATTCCCGCGACGGTGTATAACAGGATATTCTCAGTAGCTAAGAATAGCAAGAAAGGTATATTTATAACGCGAATGTTCTTGAGTTTCGTTATGTTCATCAGATCTGGCCTTATTGGAAAAGTTTTACGTTTCCAAAGATGGTTCAGGTTCACCGATCACGTACCAGTTGCGCATGCCAGCGGAAACGTACGATTTTGAATCTGTTCCGTTGAACTTTACTTGCTTAAGCATCTGTTTTAGATCACTCAGTCAAATACACTTCCAAACCCTGCGCGACTTGATTTACATTGGCTTCCAAGAGACAGGAGGAAACGCAGAGGTAAGCTAACGCTTCTGTTCAGTAACGCATCCGCATGTTGACAAAGCATTGCAACTGTCTCCATTATGCAGTGGCACATTTATTCACCTATTGAGAAGAGTCGCTTATAGTCTAGTTGCCATGTTTTTGAGCACCTTGAGGTTTGAGTCAACGCCCCTGAGACCTGTGGTTCGATGGATGGCTTTCCAGGCGATGGCGATCTCGATGCAACTTCACATCTCCGGGCATCACATCATTGGAGGAATATCATAACGATTCAAAGTCTTTAACATCATAGAGGTTTTCTCTTTAATCAGATTCCTAAATACTTACTCAATGCCGTCGTCTGCGTCACTGCGAGGTTATTTTTCGGCCTGGCAATCAGTGTGCATTACCACGGTCTGCAGTGACTGACTGAATTATAATTATCCCGAATTGTTTCATCTTTTCAAGAAAGCATTCTTCTCACGAGTTAAATGACTACCATCTGATCTTTTCACGGTTCATTCACTGGTTTAGTTGCCATTTGCGTTTAATACCTAGTAACGAGGAATGTATTTGATCTGGTTAAAGAGTATTAAAACCTCACTTATAAAAATGACAGACCAAAACAAGTTGTCCTTGTTAGAGCTGCGTAGTTTAATGACTACAGTTTTATACATTCTGGAATGTCCTGATGAGCTCAAGGCTATAAATGACTGGTTACAGTTTATGAAACTGCATGTAATATTATGAAGCGTAATCATAAGGGTTGGCGATTTTCTTAGACGATAGAACCCAAGTAGCACAATGTCTTGAATCCTTTGAACATGATAATTTATAACTTATCTAAAAACATGAAGTTAATTCTTAAGGCCTTCTTTTACGGCCTGCAGTTTTCAGCAGAACTGCTCCACTTGTAGTCTGTCCATCTAGTCTCCTGGAATTTTACAGTTGTAAAGTATAAGCTTATTTGATTCATTCGTTGTATTTCCAAGACATTTATTACTACCATGTTGGCCACATGCGTGATTAAATTTCAGCGTTTGTAATGCATAAAGACTGATCAGAAATCTAAACGTTCTCAAAACACTTTCGTCGAATTCCAGCGTGCTTGTCTTCCTTTAATGCCATGATCTAATTTTTCTTGCATTAGATAATCGAACTGTATTTTTGAAACGAAATATAGCATAACTCCTACAAGACCAGATCTCACGGCATATGGTAACACCCCACTGCTCCTAGTTGCCTTAAGGAGTCATCTTTATTCTTTACGCTCGTTAACAGCAGTTCATGAGACATTGCTCGTAATGAGCGTAAGGTTGGTCCAGCTAACAAACCGATACGAGATACATATGGCATTGCAGCTGTTCAAATTCCATTGTTTTATAGCTTGATTGAATTCCTTCCTTTCCCGGCAGTTAGAAGCAATTAGTCGGTGCAATATGCCGTAAAATCTGATCTTGGGCGAGTTATGCTGTGTGTGTTAACTTATAATACATTAATATTGAGAATTATTTAAATTGCTTCCTCTGTCACATTACAATTTGCCTTCACGCCAGTTAATGGTTGAATCATAATGTGCATTGAATAGTTCAACCGTGATCTTACCGCGAACACAGTATGGTGTTTTTTGAATTAATGGTTAATGCTTATAAAATTTGCCACATCTTACTTAGGGCTTGCAAACATCACATCATATTAAAGCTTATTTTTTCAGCAAAAAAATGAAACCAACAACTACTTGACTTGCTCAACGGAATATTTTGTAAATAAGGTGCTGCAGGATGAGGAAGATGTGCAATCGAGCACCCTTTTCATCCTTCGGAGACGCGAAGGTAATTATTTTCTTCGTCACTGCGTTTGTTGAAATGTAATCTAGGATATTATAGTTGCAGGGAAGCACAGTGAAAATGTCATTATTGCTAACGTTCTGAACGACGAATGCGAACCGCACTGGTTGCGCAAATACAGTACGGCGGCGATTAACAAGGAGAATTTAGAAGTATTCAATCTGACGTTTTTCGAGGGAGACGACCTGTCTTATCAAAGGTCAAAGGAACGCGAACGCTACTACCAACGATTCTGTCGTCGTATATTGG